GAGAGAGAGAGAGAGAGAGAGAGAGAGAGAGAGAGAGAGAGAGAGAGAGAGAGGAGACGGACGCGTTCTCGGCGTCGAGGTGGGCGGGGCGGCCCGTACGTCGGTCGGTCATTCCCCGCCTCGCCGCCCCTCACCTCCTCGCCGCGATTATCACCGTGACTCCAATAAAAACAACACGCTCGCGGGGGTTCAACCTACAAGGGGACTAATACAGGTGTTAGTCTCCGATTTTGTTCCACCTTGCGGTGTTTGAATACAAAATGGGGATTGTTTTTGACTTTTTTTTTTTTTTTTAGTCTGAGAAAATGAATCTTTCCTACAGGCCAAGATATCAAGCTAGGCACGAATTTTCTTCGGCAGTCGTTTAGAGGTGTTGAGGTGTACTTGCCCGGGATGGTTCTTGGAGGTGGTTGGCGCCCGCGGCGGCGACGAGCAGTGCAGCCAGAAGAACGGAGCAGGCGGCGCGGGGTTCCTGTTTGACAGAACCGTGGATTCAGAATCATGCAGTGGGTCCGTAACGCAAATAAACGTATGCGCGGTACAATCCATTTTTCGACACTGTCTTCTGGATGGAGTCAGTAATCTTGACAGTCCACCGGGCTCGTTATTTGATATGCCAGCTGGTGCTTTAAAGTGCCTTTGAATATATAAATAAATATATAATGTTAATAAATGTCATGACATTTGCGATTAAACTATTCCTGCTCGAAATGGGATTACTAACTTCGTCTAGAAGATATTGTCGAAAAAGTCATCTATCGCATTTTCGCCTTTCGGACCCCTGACCTGACATCAGGTGTGCTCCACTCTTTAAAGTTATTTTTTGCTGTTGTCAATCGGTTCTTTACCATTTTCTCCCGGTCGTATTCTGCGTTGACCTCCTTTGAAATTGTCGTGGAAACTGCGAAACGTTGGGTCGAACACCCCTCTGCGTCACTTTTCCTGGGCAATTGTTGTAGACTCCTGAACACCATGCACGGTAAAAATGATGTCTAATTTTTTTCATGGGAAAGGGAAAATTTTGAGGAACTCCTATCGTTTGATATAAATTCTTTCATTGTGAGGAAATCTCAAAAAAATACAGGAAAGTCCCTCATTTTTGAGATTTCCTCAAAATCGAAGGAGTTTACCTCGAAGGGATTTCCTGAAAGTTATCAATTTTCCCTCAAAAATAACACATTTGTTTTTTCCCGTTAGGCACTTCTCACTTCTATTGGTCGGAACAAACTCTCTGGGTGGCGCTCACTGGCACGATGAACAAATGTCACTGGAGTCACTGGACACGGGCACTGGACAAGACGCGCGCGCGCTGGTCAAACCGTCTCTGGACGGGGCTGGACCGGCAGTGGCCCCGCTGTGTGCAAGCGGCAGGTTTCATAACCCCAGCCGCATCCACGCACACACTCACACACGCGCGCGAATTCACACGCTCTCACTCACACAACCCTCCTCCCCCTCGTGTGTGCGATTCGCAGTAGATTTGGCGAAAAGGGAGATGAGGGGTAGGGTAAAAATGTCCATTTCACGAGAAGATAAAAGTACTCGTAATTTTAGGACAAAAATGGGAAGGTATTTGCATTGACCTGGGTCGGTAGGGCTTAGGCGGGCGGTACTGCTGATACTGCTGCTGGTACTGCTGGTACTGCTGCTGCAGCGCTGT